CCATACCAAACCACAACAACAAAAAAGCAAGGACAGATTAATATAATTCCATCATACTACTGGCCAATGCTGAGTGTTCTGCTAAATCTCTCTTCATAAACACACCTGGACTCTTTTTTAAAAAAAGACTTTGGTTTTAGAGAGGGGAAAGAGAGGGAGAGAAACATCAATATATGGTTGCATTTCACCCTCCCCCCCCCCCCATGCTGGAAACCTGGCCTGCAACCCAGGTATGTGCCCTGCACTGGGAATTGAACCAGCAACCCTTTGGTTCTGAGACTGGTGCTCAATCCACTGTGCCACACCAGCAAGGGCAACATACCTTGACTCTTGAACCTTCAAGGACTTAACAGTTGACTCCCAAATTAAAAAAGTGTTTCCATAGTGTTGGTGTCATAAACACTCAGCAATGTAGAACAGAACCACTGCTCAGAGCAAAGTGACAAAGGAGATGGAGAAGTGGTTATAAGGCAAACAGACTGATGGACATTTTAGGACACAATTCCTTGTCAGAAGAAAGAAACCAATTGTTCACCTCAGATTCTACACGGATTTAATCCAGATGAAAGATGAATTTACATTCATGAAAATGCTTTTTTTTTATTATACCATTTACTATTTAGGCATGTGGATCAAGGAGTGTAAAAAAGAGTTTACAGTAGATAGTTTTTTGATGTGACTTATGGCTCATCTAATTTAGATCAAAATGATTTTAGCTACAAATGCTTTTGTGATAACATTCAAAACAATCATGTTTAATCACTACTTTTATATTTCACCTTTGCCTTGTATGCATCCACTGAGGGTTCTGTGTGAGCTGCTGAATGATTATTCCTTTAATAATTGTGTTATGGTATCCAATAATGAAAACACATGCTTTATGTTATAATATATATCATTAAGTGACAAATTCAGTGATAATCTAACTCATATGAAATAAGAACTAACATCTACGTTCAAGGCCTTCTCCCTCTCATTGTCTCTATAAAAGAGATAGTATATGTACACCTATTTTTAAAAGATTAATTAACTTAACCAGTTATGCAATACTGGGCAAGAAGCTGAGGTAGAATTCAGATGTGTATCTGTGTGAATTTAATGTGGGTTTTTTTTGTTTGTTTTGTTTTTTTTTTTAGGTAATGTGTCTCCCTCTTAAAAACTCACAATGTATGTTAAACTATTAAAATTTCTGAGAACTCTTATTGTGTAAGAGTTGTATAAGTTAATTTGATATTTGTATCACTGGCTTTACATAATTAATGGAGTCTTCACAACCACTTTTGCACTCTGTACTATTATTACCTCATTTTTACTTGGAAGGGGGTGCTGAGACATGAGAGGGTAAGTAAACTGCTGGTCACTCATTGGCTGGACTTTGAGAACACCATGTCTTAACTCTCTCAACTGTGGTGTTATGCTCATGTGATAGATTATATCGATATACTCATACATAACAATATACTAAACTGAAAAAAATAAAAATTAGAGGCAAAAGAGACTAATGGGCTAGGTAGCTCCTGGATTCTTCAAAAAGAAGAGAGTTCAGTTGTTCCTTCTGAACAGAAATGAGAACTGAGTCAACTCTCTTCTAGAATATAGTGGGTTGTCTCTACTTCTTTTTTGTTTTTCATGTTCATTTATTGTTCTCCAGGATCTCCACTCCCTCCTAGCCACTGGAAGGAGTCAACAAGGATCCTCAGTACCCTAAGTGTTCTAGAAATACCCATGACCCTTCATAACCTTCACCTCTAATAGGCTCACCACTACATTATACCTTGTGACCATCAGGACTAATCTACTTGGGCTCTTCATAGTCATGTTAATGACAGATACCATAATAAGACAATGTTCCAATGCCCTCTCTTCCACATATGCCTGCATATTTGCCACCATTTCTATCCTTCTTGACTCCTGAAAACCGTCCACTGGATCCTCTTTAACTCATGGATAGCTTTCCATAATGCTTCCTATACATCTACCCTAATCCTCTTCTCTAAATGTTCCTCTCCCTTCTTGTTATAAAGGAATTTCAATACTCTCCTGATGGCTGCTCTCCTCTTTAGCCATCACAATGGTACCTGACTTCTCTCTCATATTCTTCCTATCATTGGTCATGAAGGTATGGTACATATTTTCCTTGTTCTACTATTGGTCCATTTTCCCTCCCTCTTCCCTCCTCCAGCTTTGAGTCTCAGGTCATCTGATTAGCCCACCCATTGCCCCTCCAAGTTGTAGTCCTTTATAGACATCCTGGGTTTCTCTCCCTTATTTCTTAAAGTTTAATTTGTAACTTGCTGTAATGTTCTTCAACAATACTCCTAACAAAATCTTGGAGGATGTTAATATTCACATAGTTGCAGATCCTTCTGATACCCTAGCCTCTCTATTCCATGGCGTTTTCACTTTTAGTGATTTTGGCCTCTGCCTTTCCTCAGTCACCCACTCTCAACATTAGATGCTGGACCTTGTCATTACCAGTAACTTACCTCTTTCCAAAATATCAATGTAAAGCCTCTCCTCTTGCAACACCGTGACTTAGACTTACAGCTAGTTTCTCAATTCCAACCGTTTTTCAGACACATTCAAACATCCTACTATGTTTTCACTTTTCCTCACTCCCTTAAATCCTAACTTATTATCTTATCCAGGTTAATTCCATGGCCCATTATCAAAATCATTCCCTTGCATATACCCTCATTTCTCTTGCCTATTTCTCTCCTCATGGCACTTACTTGGCAAAACCTCAGTCTTAAACTTAAATGGGCCATTAATGTTGTCAGGCAATCACACTACTTTCCCCTAGTTCCTTCACTCTCCCACATTCCTAAAAGACTCTTTATGACCTTTTTGCTCAACTTTTCAACACCCGATCTCCCATCATTACTCATATATAATAACCTTGTTTCCTATTTTATTGTGAAACTCAAACAATCAGAGGAGAACTTCTAGTGACTCCACTGCCTTATTTATTCACTCACCCACCACCATCTAGTAAATTTTTCTTCTTATTTCTATGGATGAACTTTTTGTGCTATTGGCTAAGGTAAAACCCCTTGTTTACGCATTAGATCTTACACTGTCTGGTGTAATGAAAGGTCTCACTCCAGCAACTGTCTCCTCACTTGTTTCAATCATGAACTTTTCCTTTCCATTCTGGATGATTTCTACCAACATACAAACCATGCACTTATTTGCTTTACCTAAAAACAAGTAAACACTTCTTTTTATCTTGCCTTCTAACTAAGAATCCCTTTCACTGTTTTCCTTTACAGCAAAACTCATCAAAAGAGTTGTGCATATTCACTCTCCAACGTTTCTCTTTGTCTTTTAAAGCCCCGTCATTCAGACTTTTACACCCACCATTCTACCAGAACTGGACATTGATCACTTGAACATAACTAAATCTGGCATCTAATTCCTAGACTTCATTTTATTGCCTATCGGGGCAGTGAACAGGACTGATTATGATGTTTTCCTTAAAACACTTTCTTTCACCTGACTTCCAAAAGAGCTTATCTACTTTTCCTCTTACCTCAATAGTTGTTTTTCTTTTGTTTACTATGTTGATTCTTCATATTTTCCCAGACTTCTCTTTGAACTTTCTCCAGTGGCTTTCTCAAGACTGGGGTTTCTAATACCATAAATAGGCTATATATCACATAATGTTTATATCCATTCATGGCCTGTCCAGGTATTGCAGATTCTTAGGTCCAACTGCATGGTAGTTATCTGTCCTTAAGTATCGATTAGGCAAGTCAAATTTAACATACCCAAACAGAATTCCTCATGGTCATCCAGAAATCTTCTATACCTTTCCTCATCTTTTTCATGGGCATTTAGTTCTTCTTATTTCATAGGTTAAATATTTTGCAGTCAGCCTTGATTCCTTCCTCCACCCAATTTTTTTTCCTCACTCCGCATTTTTTATCAGTCCCATATTCAAAATATATCCAGGTTAGTCATTTCCATTCTTAGACTTCTATTCTAACCTCTATCTGTTCTCACATATATTATTGCAAAAGCCCCCAAACTGGTTTTTCTGTCTTTGCTCTTGTTTTCTATGGTAGAAATGGCTAAAGTTATGCATATGCTTTACTTGACAGTGGATGCCCAACCAAGGACTAAATTCTAAAATCCCTGATGTGTAAATGGAGCCATGTAGATAACTATAGCCAATGGAGGGAAATTGTTACATCACATTTCTAGGCTGAGGCTGTTAATTATGCAGTACTCATTTCTCATGCTCTCTTCCTTTTCTCCAGAACCATGGAGACTTGTTGTGGAAGACCACTGCATCACAGATGGAAGGAGTGTATAGCCATGTGTCACTAAATAGAAGAGAGTGATCCAAAAGAGCTACCCATCCAGAAACGTCTACATTGGGTTTTGTGTGAACAGCAAATACATATTTTATTAACCCTTGAGATTTTTGGACTGTTGTTATAACATTTATACTACCTGACACATTTCTCAACCAAACTGTTAGAGTGCTCCTGCTAAAGCATAGGTCAAACTACATCATTCTTTTGCTCACTTACTTTACTGTAGCCATGCAATCTGCCTAGCTATTCCAAAAGAAGTCCAACTACTATTCCTTCAAGCTTTTCCACTTGCTCTTTCCTATGCCTCCAGTGCATGTTGTCCCCCTCTTAGTGAGGCTTTCCTCAACCAACTTATTTAAAATGGAATCTGACTTTCACTCTGACATGTTAACAAAGGACATAATACTGTCTCACGTGCTCAATACTGTTTGTGAGCACGTGAGACAGTATTCTATTTGGTTTGTGTTTTGTTTGTTTGAATCCCAGCACCTAGAAATATGTCTAGAATAATGGTGGAACCCTATAAATATATGTTATATAAATACTGAATTGATTCAACATATTCATGATACTTTTCATCTCTTCAAGCATTCAGTATTTACTGACTTCAATGTGTGTGCTGTTCTCTGGTTTAGAGAATCCTAACCCACCTGCATATACACCCCATTCTTTTTTTTTCAGGGGAGAGTGCGAACGCAGCCCCCCACTACCACAAATTATGCAGTCAAGTTTCCCACATTTGGGGAAACTTCAGGGGCCAGCACATCCAGAGTGCAAGGGACAAGCCTCGCCCTGGGAAAACTACCTTCATGATCATAGCATCTCCCCTGCTAGGTAAATATATAACCCATTCTTTGTCTCTCATTCATCTTTTAGGTATCAATTTAGGTACCACTTTCTACAGCCAGAACCCTAGTTCTCTTTGATGCTTCCCTTCCATTATCTGTCATACTCTGTTCATCTTACATTACAGAAGGTATCTTAAGGTATTATATAGTATCCTATCTATTTATATGCCCAACTATATTTTTCACAAGAACAGGGATCACGATGGTTTTTCCAGTCCTGCATCTCTACTATTTATTTCAATTTGTGGTTCACAAAGTAATAAGTTATTAAACTTTCTTGGGTTTACAAATTTAAAACAACACTATTGCTTTAGATTTGGTAATTCACAAACTTCTGGCAATCATTAATTATGGTTTCATGGTATGTGGAGTGGTGAAAAGAAGCCAGAAGATGAGGAGTAAACTTGTACAGAAGAGTAGGAGATGTTGCCTTTTAATTTATATGGCCTGGAGTGTGAATCAAGGATGTTTTTCTGACACCAAATGTTTATATTTAGGCAAGGAAATAATGTGCCAAGGGAGAAATGATTTTCTCATTTTCTGTCTGAATGCACAAAAGGACCCTAAATACTTATGTTCTACTTGTCAAAGACAAGCTGAACCAATATCAAACCTCTGAGAACAATTGCCCTAGTACCCATTACTTTGAAAACAGAGTTGGTTATCTACAGGTTTTGTTCATAGAGTCATTCAGATTATTCTTCAGCAAACATTCACTTCCTCCTTATCCCCACCCCAAACTTAGTTCTATGGTCTCACAGTGGAGAGAATGTATTTTCTTACTCTTTCACTTATTTTGACAAATTGGACATTAGAAGACAGCATGTTGTGATCTTTGAAATATGCTTACATTGTCAAGCTTGTGGTTTTATACTGCTGGATTTCAGTATGGGAAGAATATGCCTTAAATATGTCCAAAGGAAATGTGAGTTATGTGGAGATCTGAACGCAACGCTTACACTGGAGCCAAGTCCAACTGAACCCAGCTAAAATCAACCCAACTTTTCAGACCTGCAGATTGTGACTAGGAAATAAGTCACTGAGTTTGAGATGGTTTTAATACATAATGATTGTGAAAAGAAATAACTGATAGAGACCTAACTGTCCTTTTCTCCTCTCTCCTTTCCCCAAAATTTCAAAACATTTGGGACCAGGCCAAGGAAGAAGTTTTGCTTCTATATCCCTAATGAAAATACAAGAAGTTTACTGTCTTTAATGCTAAATCACTAAAGAATGGAAAAAAAAGTTTGAATAAGTCAACTAATGAGTCTATAATTTTATAAAACCCTCTTAGGTATCTCCTCTGTGAAACTGTTATCAACATATACATTAAAATGGCCAATGAGGTTTTCAATTAAAATATAAAATAAATTTTTCTAGCTGTGACCAAAATCTACATATTTCTTTTGGAACTGGAGATTAATAGAATGAAACAATTCAGAGCTTATAATTGTTCTCAGTTCCTGATGCTGCTGGCTGCATCCTGGAAGTTAAGGAATTTTCAGGATAATGGCTAACTGCATGGAAAATTGAAAAGTAAAGACTAAACTTTCTTTGAACATGCTACAATCTCTGTGAGAAGAGTCTATCATTTATTACCTCAAACATATTCGGTAGAATGCTTTTTCAGTTGAGGTATCTTTGGCCACACAAAGCAGGATGTTATTCTCTTATATCTGCTGCCATCGGGGCTGGGAGAGCAACAGCCTTAAAAGAAGTGTAAATGTCTTTTATTTAGCTAAATAGAGTGTGAACTAGACTTGATATATTAAATAAGGAGCCAAAATAGACACACATACACAAATGCATACATGCAGACTTGCACAGAAACACACAATCTTCTCTGGCTCTCTCTTTTTAGTCTATGGGATCTTAGAAAACAAATTCAGTTTTATCAATTTGTCTTTTTTTTTACTGTATAAAGCATACTTTATTGGAATTTACTCTTGATATGATAATTGTATAAAAGCCAAACATTTATAAAGCTCTTGCTATATGTGAGATATGGTTTTAAGCATTTTATTAACATTAATTCACATTAATTTTAAAAATAACTAACAAGGGAAGTAATTTTATATTCTTCATAACACTCCTGGTATAACTATAGCACAGAAGTGATTTGCCCATCAAGCAATAAATGATGGAAATGATATTGATTCCAGAACCCATGTTCAAAAAAAATGAAAATATTTGGTATATTATTATTTCAATGCAAAAATAAGACAGGCTGCAGTTTTAAAAATGTTACTTGCTTTAAAATTATGACTTCAGATTTTATTGTGTATATAACTAATTAAAACAAAACAAAGTTAGGTTCTTTTATTCATCCACTCATTGTTTATTCTGTTTGTCTAATTATAAAAACCCTTTACCTATCACGTGCACACCTTATATAACTAACTGTAATGTGTATTCATTACACACATGGAGAAAGTCCCATTTTACCAAATTAAGAAAAGTAAATTATAGAATGGTTATTTTCAAAACATATCAATTTTTTTCAAGGACCATAAGGGAAGTCAAAAGTCAAAGGGAAGACAAGAGACAAGATAAACTCTGCTAGTCTTTTGCAGTAACTGCTGTTATCTTCAGATCTTTATTGTAGACTTAGCTCTATATCAAGACAGGGAGTGCATCCTGTAAGAACTATATTTATAAGTAGCTGAGTCTTCAGTGTTCAGATGTTTTTATTCATATGCATATCACATGACATAGAGTTCAAAGACAAAGTACATGGGTTTGGATGTTACTTTAAAAGTGTTTACCTCTTTTAGGTCTGATTGCTCATGCCACACTAGATGATTAGAGAGCTACTGCAGTGCCATGATTTCAGTATTGCCTAAAAGCAATAATCAAGCTCTTAAAAACTTTTGTACTGAGCTCTATTCCAAGCATGTTGCTATGTTCACTTCATTCATAACAACCCCATGAAGTAAATGCTGTTATTGCTACCATTTTACAGATAGGGAAATTGAGGCCACATAGAGGTTAATATGATATTAGAGTTATTAAGGATACATACCTAGGTAATCTTACTGTAGAAGCTGTGCTTTTACCGTCATGCTACCTCTTCTCTGAAGCTTTTTCTTCTCTGCCAGAGAAATTTCATGTTTTAGTGTCATTACTTTAATAATATGGCAAAGAGGCTTCTGTTGAAGCATACTTGAGCACAAAGAAGGGTGCTTGAGAAGTATGATATGCTATGGTAGAAGGCAGAATGACTTGGGAGAAGTCAACCTGAGCAGCCAGATAATGCATCAAGGCAGCAAAACGAGAAGCATAGATAAAGATAACTTTTCCTATCCCATCATTACAAAGTAACTTCAATGATTGGCCTTAACACCTATTGAAATTCTTTCAGGCAACACACTTTGGCCTTCTCGGGCCCTGTGCTATAATCCCCAGCTAGCCTGGCAGTTGACCACAGTTTCATCTGTATCACCAACTTGGGGTAGACTTGAGTTTTCAGCCCTAAGAATATTTGTTGTAGGCAATGTCAGCCAATAGGGCTGGATCCCATCTGACATCACTCTTCCCTGTTAGGATCACACATTCTTTATGATTGCATTTGCCTGATTTTCAACTCTATTCCAGCAACATCATCCCTGTGGAAATGAAGCGTTGTTTTGGGAACTTCATTACTTAAGTGGTCTAGACAACTTTCAAAGACTCACACAGCCTTTTTCTGCTATCTCACCTCTTCCTACCATTTAGATCTACCAGGAATCCAATACACCTTCAAACTAACCACCTCAAGTCATGATCCACCTTACATAGAAAATTTTGAGCATTTCTACTGCTCAGTGAAGTTCTTGTCTCACCTACTAGAGCATTCCCCTTGGAGAAGAGACCATGTAGGATGTTACTAGGTTCTTCAAGGATAACTGAAATTACATCAAAGGGAACAGCGATAGGGTCGGTCCTATTTTCTGGCTTCTGATGGTTTCTTTAATTCTTATTTCCCATGTCTCCCCTGGCCCTTTCTTTGGGTCCCCAAGTACCTTGAGTGCCAAGCCCGCACAGGTTGTGACAGACTTTACGTCTTTCACTAACTGGAAACATAAAGAAAATCTACACTGAAGGAAACCTTTCAAGTTGAACTTCTGTCAAGCAATTGGAGGAGCATGTGGTTTTGTGGTAAGATTTGTCAGAGTGAGTTGTGGAAGTGGCTAAGTGTTGCGAGTGGTAAATGACTAGCTCTGCGCTCACAGAGCTGTGTGAAGGGTTCTCCACTTTTTGCCCATCTGTTTCTGATCTACTCTGAAGCTTAGAAAAAGTCCCTCATTTTTTTTTTTTTGACTCAACAATATCACAAGCTATTTATGTAGAAAAAAAACTATTGTTACATGTGGAATAAAAATTGCCATGTGTCACTATTATAAACTACAGCTTTCTGATGAAAATTGTTTTTTTTTAATTTATTTATTTTTTCAAATACATTTGTCTCTGCTTACCCCCCACCACTTTCCCTTGCCCCCTCTCTCCCTCCCTTCCTCAGCTCTTCCCCTTTGGTTTTGTTCATGAGTCCTTGCTATATGTCCCTTGACTTTCCCCTTCCCTTCCTTTTCCCCTGCACCCCCCCCCCTTGCCTCTGTTGGAAATTGTTTGAAGAACATTCATTTATTTGACTGGCACAGGACTTTTTAGTAGAGGATCTCATGTTTTATTTAGGAGAGGATCTCAGTGTAAATATTCTTTCTCTTGCAGGTTAATTCAATAAATATGGACCAGGCTGTGTGCTAGGAGCTGAGCATATATGTTTATTTATTATTTAATTGGGGAACAAAAAAATAAACAATTACATATCTGGGTCCTCAGATAACCAGGTTAAATCACACTGATAAAGATGCAGAGGAGAAAATCCCATGACAGAAAATCTTGCAAATTGGAACAAGTGAAAACAAAAACATTAATGTGGCTCTAGCAAGATTGGAAAGAGACAAGCAATGACATGACCTGAGAGAGGAGAAAGTGTGTACAAGAGAATGAGTGAG